AAAAAAAAAAAAAAAAAAAAAAAAAAAAAAAGAAATGCTTTATTTGTCTTCTGGTATACTGCAGGGAGTCATCTGATTATAATTTTTCATTTCAGGAACCCTATTCTAAGCTGTTTCCAATGTTTTCCTCGAGTCCATGCCTAATTTCTTTTAGTTCTTCTGTACCTTTGCCGAGATGTGTAACAGCAGCATCAGACAGGGAGCATGCAAGAGAGAGATAAGCATGGTACTTTATGGTTTCTGAATACTAATCCTAACTCGGGAAACTAATGGACCCCGTGACTCTGATCCTGTTGCCTATGTTTTCTTTGTACCTTAACTTTCTCTGGGGGTTAGTTCTTAGACTAGAGCTGATGAGAACAAAGAAAATATACATGAAAGAGCATTCAAAACTCTGGCGGATGAATGCTCTGTAGATGTAAGCAATAGTTGTCTTCATCCTAGAGAACAGAGATTTGTCTTTCAGAGCAAAGAGTGACAGAATGTACTGTGAAGTCTGATACAAGGTCTGTCCAGTGGATACACTTTTCTTTCTGCTTGCATTCTGGCTTTGGGCTGCCTGTCATGGCATCAGTCTTTCATTTGATTGGAAGGTTGAATCCACAGGATCTGGTGAGCAACAATACTGTGGGGAGTAATATGGAAATCTATTGAAATTTCTACTTGATATATCTGGGATGGCCCAGATATGCTAGTCTTCTATGCTAGTCTTCTTGATTTCCTGCTTAATTTTATTGCTACTTATAGTATTTGTCAAATTGAAGATGAATTACTTATTGGAGATGTTAGGAATGTTCTAGACCAAACTTTTTGTGAGGTGATCAAGAATATTTATGATTGACTTTCCAAGGTTTTGAAATTGGTTAAGGACCATAGTATATTTAAAAATGTTTAGAATCTTAGATACCACAGTTAACAACAACAACAACAACAACAACAACACCTCTTTGAGATAATCTACTCTAATTCTCTGTTTTATAGATAGATAAACAATATACAAAAGCCATGTTTGTGTATAATCTTATTGAATTTATATAAAAATGGTCATTTACACAAATACGAGAACTAGGGACATAAATCTTTAAAAACGGTTGGCCTCAGACTCATAGAATTTTTTTGTAGTAAATATTTTGTAATGCAATGCTTCCTTTTCATCCTGAAACAATAGTATAGATGCAATATCAACAGAAATAATTTCAAAAAAATTGTATAATGACCTAATATGCACTATATAATGAATGAAGTAGATAAATCCATGATCATGACCATACTAGGAAGTAAAATCAGTGGGAAATACTTTGACGAAGATTACTGAATTTGCTAACAGACTCAAGTATGTCATCTTTTGAGAGAAATACCACCAGTTATTGTCAGATGAAATTTTAACAAAAGAAAGTAAAATCTTCCCTTAATATATACAGTAGCTGCATTACAGGAAAAGTTGGTGCAAATTAGCACAAACAAAAAGGAATTTTATGTAAAAGCTAACTGAAGTTGAGAGCTAGAGTCTGACCACACTAGACTTTCCGGGACATTGGAAAGGTAGGCAGGAGCCACGTCTGGCATTCCTGGCCTCTACCCAGTTGGTGTGAATCTACGTTCCAGTAATTCTTGTGCTGATGCTTCTCCACATAGTCAAAGTTTCCTGGTGGACAGTTCAGCTCCCTTGGAGAATTATAGTCTCAGAACAATATCATGTATCTGCAAATGACCAGTTCATACTAGGTCAGACCTAAATTTCTATTCCAAACTCTTGCCTTTTACTTAGAGAAGAATTCTAAGTACAGGCACAAACATGATGTGCAGTGTGATAAGGTTTATTTACAAAGTAAGGAGGAAACACAAGCACGTGAGGGCTTTATGTAGGGATGGTGGGCCAGGAAAGGTAGAGAGACTTCTATTCCATGCTTGCCCTGGATCCATGAAGAGAGAGAAAGAGTGAGCCTCGTCTCCTTTACCAGGCTTCTTACGAACTTAGGAAAAGGGACTGGTTACGTAGTACTGCTCCCAGGTCCCAGGTAAGGGGAGGCGCATCCTGGAGAAGGGATCATCTGATTGATAGGTAGATGGGTAGGATTACAAGGGGTAGGGAAGGTATGGCCTCCAGCTCATGAACTTAACTGTCTCCCTGACTTGTCCCATATCAACTTGATAACAATTGATGACATGAGTCAATGAGGCACATTTATCTCCAGACAATTATAGATTGAAAACGTGCTTCTAGAGATCTTTAAGATTCCGATGGCATCATATGATTTGCAAAAATTTTACAAATTTATTATATTACTACTATCTCTGTCTAAAAAGAAAAAGGAACCTGTTAGACCAATTTTGTTTTAGTGCTTTGGGGTTTTTTTAGCTGAACTTATAGATGCAACTTTTTTTTTTTTTAATTTCTCTATTTAAATGGCAGAATGAGAGCGACTGAGAGAGAGAAAGAAGTACATTAAATAAACTTCCCATCTGCTGGTTCACTCCCCAAGTGTCTAGAATGGCCAGGGCTGGGCCAGGCTGAAATAGCAACTCTATCTAGATCTCCCTTGTGGGTGGCAGATTCTCAGGTACTTGAGCCATTGTCTGCTGTCTTTCAAGGAGTGCAGTAGAAGGGAGCTGGATTGGAAATGGAGGCAGAACTTGATCCCAGGCACTCAGACAGGGGAGACAGATTGCCCCACTCTGTGGCTTAATCTGCTGCACCAAAATGCCTACCACTAGATACAGCTTTTTGAGAGTAAGGAGGAAGGTGTGTGTGTGTTTTTATATGTACATTAAAAAAAAAAAAAAACCACAAAACCTGATTTCTATGAAGTTCTGTTAGTTGAACAAAGAATGAAAATTTAAAAATTTCTAATGTCTATAAAATGTTGGGCAATTGGTGTCAGGCATTTTAAAAAAACAGTAATGCTTTTTCAATATTTAATCTTTGAATGTTTGTGGCTCAAATTTCAAGCATTGTTTTTTTTAATTGTTGTGACAGAAATTGCCACATTATCAGTGCTGTTATTTCATTAATTAATTAATTAATTTAATAACCTTTCACCACCCAAATTATCTTTATTGTTAGAATCTTGCCTTTGAATGGTATTTTTTTTAAGATTTATTTATTTTTACTTGCAAGTCAGAGTTACACAAAGAGAGAAGGAGAGGCAGAGAGAGAGACAGAGAGAGAGAGAGAGAAAGGCCTTCCATCTGCTGGTTCACTCCCCAGATGACTACAATGGCCGGAGCTGTGCCAATCCAAAGCCAGGAGCCAGGAGCTTCTTCTGGGTATCCCACATGGGTGCAGGGGCCCAAGGACTTGGGCCATCCTCTACTGTCTTCCCAGGCCACAGCAGAGAGCTGGATCGGAAATGGAGCAGCTGGGACTTGAACCAGCACCTACATGAGGTGCCAGCACTGCAGGCGATTGCTTTAACCGCTATGCCACAGCGCCAGCCCCCTTTGAATGGTATATTTGTTTGTTTGTTTTTTAAGATTTATTTATTTATTTATTTGAAAGAGTTGCACAGAGAGAGGACAGGCAGAGAAAGAGAGGTCTTCCATCCGATGGTTCACTCTCCAGATGGCCGCAACGGCCGTAGCTGTGCCAATCTGAAGCCAGGAGTCAGGAGCTTCATCTGGGTCTCCCATGTGGATGCAGGGGCCCAAGGACTTGGACCATCTTCCACTGCTTCCCAGGCCATAGCAGAGAGCTGGATTGGAAGTGGAGCAGCCGGGTCTCGAACTGGCACCCATATGGGATGCCAGCGCTTCAGGCAAGAGCATTAGCTCATTGCACCACAGCGCTGGCCCCATGAATGGTATATTTGTTAACAGTTGATGACCCAAGATGGCTTTATATAAATGGACAACTATAGCACATAGATATAATGCAGTATTATTGAATGATAATACACCAACCGGGTTGTATTTCATATGGAGGAACCTGAAATGCATATTACGGAGTGAAAGAAGCCCATCTGTTAATGTAGACTTTATAACAAATTCTCTACCCTCAGTGACCTTGACAGGGCAGGGGGTAGATGGTTTGAGGTGAGGGTAAGTAGAGCAAGAGGTATATGCAGACCTACTTTCTGCTCAGCTATGCTGCAAATCTAAAACTGCTCTTACATTTGATTCAAAAACTGTGGAGCTTTCTGAAATTTAAAATTTCTAATAGTCTCACAATCATTCCCAGACAACTTGATTTCTTTTTTTCCTCCAGTAATTGGGGATACCTACCTAAAAATTAAAAAGGAAAGTGATTTTTCTCATGCTTTAGT